CACCAGAGCCTGAAGGACATGAGCATCTCAATGCCGGGATGGATGATAAGGCAGGGGGATGACCACAGAAGCTGGTGTTTCTCTGCTGCTTTGCTCAGTGATTGCTCACAGAATCGTGCCACCTAATCATAGAATCACAGACTGGTTTGTGTTGGAAGGGACCTTAAAGCTCCTCCAGCTCCAACCCCTGCCACAGGCAGGGACCCCTTCCACTGGAGCAGCTTGCTCCAAGCCCCTGTGTCCAACCTGGCCTTGAGCCCTGCCAGGGATGGGGCAGCCACAGCTTCTCTGGGCACCCTGTGCCAGTGCCTCAGCACCCTCACAGGGAAGAGCTTCTGCCTTGTATCCATTCCTGTTTAAGTTTGAACCCATCACCCCTTGTCCTATCACTACAGTCCCTAATGAAGAGCTCCTCCCCAGCATCCCTATAGCCTCCCTTCAGATACTGGAAGGCTGCTCTGAGGTCTCCACGCAGCCTTCTCTTCTCCAGGCTGAACAGCCCCCATGTTCTCAGCCTGTCTCCATATGGGAGGTGCTCCAGCTCCCAAGCATCCTCATGGCCTCCTCTGCACTTGCTCCAACAGCTACATATCCTTCTTACGTTGACAACACCAGAAATGCACACAGTGCTGCAAGGGGGGGTCTCATGAGAGCAGAGTACAAGGGCAACCCCACTGCCATAAGCAGGGACATGTTCAACTGTATCAGCTTGACAGAACCCATCCAGCCTCTCCCTGGGCAACCTGTGCCAGCATTCTAGTACCCTCATCATACAACATTTCTTCCTTTCTTCTTTCTTTCTTCCACCCTTCCTGCTCAGCAGCACATGAGCGTGCTGGGAGGTTGCCTCTCACCTCGCAGGGCACGGGACAGCTGGGAAGGTATCGCAATGACAGGAGACAGACGGCTGTAGGCATTCTTCCTTCAGGTCTGTCTCTGTCTCCGAGGGCTCAGAGCTGCTTGGATGTATGACAGCAGGTGGATACCCAGCAGTCTCCCTGGAAATGGCTGGAGGGGACTCTGATCTAAGCAGCTTTGTCAACAGTGTTAATACAATAAAAATAATCAGATTCACTCAGATGGAAATGAGAGAATAGGCAGATAACGGTGCAAATCAGAGGGAATAACCAGGATGGGAGCAACAGTAAACCACCTATGGAACAACACAAGTTCAGATGCTCCTCAGAAGAACCACGATCTTGAATTCATCAAAAAGTCACAGCAGCATCATGCCTTTTTGTCTGCTTCTTTGTTTTTCCCACAATACATACACACATGTTTGGGATAAGATGAAGCACAGGGAGGTCTGCAGAGGCTTCCTGCATGGTACACACATGGTGTTTGCCTCTCATCCTGGAGGAAGGAAGCACAGGTTTGCAGTTGTTGCACTAAGTACTTGGTCTTTCCAACACTTCCCTAGAAAGAGAGCAGGGTCTGCATCTCTCTTTTTTCCTCCTATCCTGGAGGGAATGACCATCCTCAATGTGAGGCTGTTTACCTGGGGGACACAGTTTCACAGGAGAAAGGGGGATTTTAATAAAGGAGCTGTCAATCAGAAAGGAAAATGACAGCTGCCATGGAAGTGTTTGCTCTGGGGTATTTTTGTGTTCCTATACTAAACCCCATGATAACTCCATTTACGGGAACAGCAACCAGAAACAAAGAACTGGCCTGAAGAAGGTACTGGAGAAATAAATGACCTGCAGCCAGAAAAGACTTAAAAACTCAGGACTCCTTTGTGAGCCTTGCATTGCAGGAAGCACCCCAGAAAAATACCTGATGGAACTCTTTTAACAGGCAGCTTGCAAGGTTTGAGCCTCACCCCTTGCCACGGGGACAAGTATGGAAGGGAACTGGCACTCAGACCACAGAGCCCCACGCAGCAGCTCCAGGTTAACTCCAACCACAAAACCAAAGGAGGGAATGAGCTCTGCTGACTCCTGGCTTTGTGTGTGTAGCTGGAGGGTACGCACAGAGCCCACATTTAGTGTTTGGCATATGGAGATATGGCGAGTACACTGGCAGGACACCCCTCCCCACATGCCCCATCTCCATGTACCACCCCAGAGCAGTGCCCTTCCAGGGACAGACTCCCAGTGAGGTGCAGCACAAACAATATGCTGGGATTCCCTCTGCAGTGATTACTCTTCATTTGTGGCCTGCTGGGTTTTCGGATCACCATTAACAATAACAGCTGGGGAGTTCCTACACTGATTCCAAGTTTACCCCCTCCAGAACTCATCCCTGCCGCAGCTGAGCGCACATTCCCCCTGTCCTCAGAGACACAGGGGACCTGGGCATTGCTTGCAATCACACTGTCATCCTCTTCAGGTGACCTGCATGTCACTTGGTGGGGATGCATACACGGGTCTGGCAGTGAGAGGAACGCCATCACCTGGGTTTTGAAAGCACCATGTGCATGCATTCAGCCTCACCTTTGAAACACTGACCTATATGATAAGCAAATGGCAGATGAAGCAGATTACAGCCTGGCAGCAGCTGGGCTTTGCCTCTTTTGGGTTCTGCCAGTATAGTCCCAAAGTCACCATATGGTCCCGAAGTTACCCACCTCTGCTTATCAGGGGTAATTCATGCTATAGACCCCAGTTGCTATGGTGGGACACAACCTCCTCGTTTCTGTCGCCACAGGGACACTTGCCACCTCTGAGTGATCTCCAGAGGCTGTCACAGTGGTGGAAAGAGAGGGGCAATGTGGCTTGCTCACAGCACCACTGGCTAAATGAGGCTTGGGAAAAAAATAGACCCATTGACCTGACATCCTTGAGAGACAGAGCAAGCGGTCAGGAGAGGAAGGAAAGGAGAGAAAGGCAAACAGCGGGGGAATGGGAGGGGGAAGAGAATTAAAAGCCCCCCTAGAGAGCTGTGGGGGACATCGGGGAGGCAGCCTGGCCACCGGAGCACCCTCCAAGCCCCCCCTGCCTGTCTCTTCTCCCCCCCTTATATCTAGCTCTGAGTTTTGCTCAGCTAGTGAAAGGGTTAAGTTTAATTTATACTGATTTCTATTTAATATCATTCTCTCCCCGTAGGAGCCAGCAGCTGTGAGCTGATTGTACTCTCTCATTATGCAGTCTGTATCACTAATGGCCTGTGACAAAGGCATGCCATCTTCCCGGCCTTACCCCCCGAGAGCCAATTAAACACACATACTCCCTTCCTGTTTGCAGCGCATTACAATGAAATTAAACTGAATTTCAAAATCATTTTCTCCTAAAGACATCTCTTTGCAATAATTAATGCATGCTATTCCTTTGCATCTGAAATATTCATCAGGAGTGGTGACTAAAAAAATTTTTAAAGCTGATTGCCCTGCACACCCTGCGCATCGCCTGATGATGCTTCAGTACCACCCCATGGAACACACCCGGGATGGGGACCCGTGGTGACACTGCCAGCAGGGCAGCTCCATGTCTGCTTCATAATAACAATGATAATAAATCACAGCTTCTTCAGGAACCATAAATAAATAAGATTACACAGAAGGCATTAGAAATCCAGCCTGACTCCTGACACGACGGCACTGCTAACACACAGTGAGAGGGGAATGGGGAAGTGAGAGCTGTGCCTGTGTTAAGGTTCAGCAGAAATGAGCCATCAGCCCCTTCTGCACTGGCAAGATTAACTGGTGGCTGGGCTTGGTACAGCCTGGCTTTACCCCACTGCTCAAACAGCTCCCAGCCAGTGGCAGGGGCAGCAGGAAGGCTGCTCACTGAAATACCACCCAGGAGCTGGGGACCGAGCCTGCCAACCCATCCCATGGCTGGCTCAGTATTTAATCCATATTGCAGAGAACCTCTGACTGAGGGGGCCTCTGACCGCTCGCCACACGCAGGGTGGGAGGCATAATTTGCAGCACATAACTTATTCATGGCCTGTCACATCTATGCCAACTGGGAAAGCTCTTCAGCCTGGTATGCTCCTGGATTTGTTACCCTGCATGATGGGCACGATTAGCCATTACAAGTTCTCCTCTGAGAACTTGCTGTCCCAGCCACAGCAGCTCCAGGCAGGGACAGTCCCAATAGCATCCGCTATCGTGGGATAATGGGATCTTTATTCTGTCTGCAACCATTTACCATGGCACACACAGGCCCCACTTGCAAGAGGCATTATTATTAAGGTATTCTCTTCTGGTCAAGTTTTGTTTGAAAGAAGCAAACACTCAGGTTTTCCCATCCCTGGAAACATTCCATGTTTCAGAAACACTTCCCTCTCTTGAAACGGACAGGGAAACCCTGAGAAAACCCAGAAAAAGCACCATTTCCTCTGCGTTTCCACAACACATCACATAAAAATAAAATGAGCCTTGGTTTCAAATTAAAAGGTCTCTTTATTTGGATAACTCAGGCTTTTCACTATTGTGAAAAAATGGTTCTGGCAATTTCAGAACCTCAGCCTAAACCTGAGGACACTTGCTGGGATTGTCCTCAGAAAGCTCAGCATTCCTTCAATCAGTTTCTGACTGAGAAAGGACAGTCCCTTGAAAGGCTCCCTCATGGTCCCAGCCCACCCCACTCAGCCACACTGCCCATGCTCATGCCTTCAATCCTTTAACTAAGCCATGACCAGGAGGACAAACTCCCCTGCAGACACCATGATGGGAGGCAAGAGGGGAAGCACGATGGATCCCCCTCCTTGGAGCTTAGTGGGGGTTTTCCACTGATGTAGTCCTTGTGTAAGTTAAACTCAACCACATTTTGCAAAGTTAAGTCCCCAGAAAACATTAAACATCAGTATATTATGCTCACAAGCAAGCAACCCCGAACATACCCCATCAACTGGCTAATTACAGTCAACACAAGCAAAGCCCCTCCTTGAGCCTGGCGTTCAGAAGCACATCCAACCTGCACCCCCAGCTGGGCTGTGATCGCCCTTCTGCAAAGCCCCCAGCAGCCAGGGAACCCCAGGGGCTGATCCATAGCTGCTGCCTCCTCCTCCCCTCGCTGCTCTTTGCCATAGGCTGCAGGGAGCCATCACAGTACCTGTTTTGAACCAGCCATCGGGTGTGAAGGCATCTGCTGTTTCTTTGGGTCTGTTCCAGTACTCGCGGAAGACGGAGGGTCCCTTCACAAGCAGCTCCCCTTCTTGTCCCTCCAGACCTGGTGTCACCTAGGACAAGCACACAGTGAATGCAACCCAGGGACTGGCAGTGAGAAGCTCTCCTGCAGCCACATCAGCTCCACCACCTTGCATCGGCTTCCCCATCTTGTGGTAGGGGACAAGCAGGACCCACACACTGTGTCTTTCCAGCCTTTCCCACCCTCCAATGCAGCCTGCCCACCTGCACAACGTCTTTCCTCACATGGAAGGACTTACCAAAATGCCTTTGACATCCAAAAGCACTGAAAACATACATCTGTGTCATATAAAAACAACAACTTCCATCCTGGAACCACGATCCAGGCAGGCTGATGCCTTCCAGCTGCTGTCAGAGGAGAGGTCTCATATGCAAATATGCAGGAAATACTCTTGGAAAAGGGGCAGGAAATACTTTTGGGAAAGGGATGGTCCTTTCTGACCCCTGGATGGCCTGATGCAGACCAGCTTCACAAGATTTCTCTGCACCCTGCTCCTACTGCAGCACCTACCAGCCTCTGTCAGGATTCTCTCCCAGGAAATAATTGTAGGTAAAGGAAGCATAGCCCACTGTCCCACAGCTGAGAGATCAGATCCTGCTCTGGTGCTGAAGGCACCACCACCACTCAGCCTGGATGTACGAGATAGAAAGTGTCATCAGGGTAAGGACCATCCTCCTACCCTCCACAGCCAGGTGATGCAGCGAGGTGGGCAGCCACTGTGAGGCAGGGGCTGACATGCTCCTGTGACTCTGCCATGCTGCTGTCTGCTCTGTTTGCCTTCCAAAACTGTCAATCTATCATTCTTTTTTCTTCCTGAGGTGGCAGCAAACATCACTGGATTTGTTCTTGGGGATACAGCTCCTTTCAGGCCCACTGGAAGGCAATGGCTGTAGTGACAACATGGGACCCTGCAAACCCGCACAGGCAGGTTTTCTATGGCAACAAAACAAACATCCTGCTGTTATGGAAACTGGAGAATTGCAGGAAGGTCACAGACTTGCCTGACATGGCATGATATCTCATCTCCCCTGCACACACACAGCTTCGTAATCATAAGGATGCAGGCAGGCCAGGAGATGAGGCACCAGAGAGGCACAAACTGCTTATGCTAACCTAAAGCCCTGTTGCAGGGAAGATGTGCAAAGCCAGTGCTGGGATGGGAGGTCACTGCAAGATGTGCTTTTATACACTGCTCCATCCCTTTGCAGAGAACATCCCAGTAATGGGTACTCCAAGCCTCTTTGTACTTGGTCTGCTGCAACATGGATGAGAAACATCTGGGACCCTGAAAATCAGTAGGGCCAGAAATGCAGCATGAGGGGAGGTGGTAACAGCAGAACTGGAGCACCAGGCAGAATCCCAGGGCAGAGCAGGCTTCACTTCTCTGTGCACCCTTTGATGGAAACAAAACTCCTCTAATGGAAAATGCTTAGAAAGCTTGTTTTGAGGCACATTTTTTAAGGTGATTTCTTCCTGATGCCCTGCCTTGGAGGATGCGGTGACAGAAGGATCCCTGCACTTAGAGCCCACTGCCTGAATCACTCCACGTGCCACAGGCTGGGCTGAGCACCCACAGCCCTGGCTGTGCATCACCTCCACCGTCTGGAAGATGCTGCAGGAGAAAAAGGTCGCTAATGCCAAGCCATGGCAAGGTGGGGAATTCTCCCCAGGGGATCTGAAAGAGGTAGCCTGAAGACCAGACTATCCACAAGCAGGACAGCACAGAGAAACCTGAGCTCCAGCAGAGTCAGAGCCTCAGTACCTGCTGCAGCCAAAGGGCAGGAGGCACAAAGCATGTGTGGCAGGGACACGGTGGGTGATGCAGAAGGACTGGCAAAACAAGGCTGCAGTGCCGTTACAGAGGCTGTATGTGGTTTTAACAATGAAGCTCTTTCTCCTCACTCCTTTTCCTGCTGGCCCAGCCATATCATCACAAAACAAGCAACTTCCCTGAGTAACCCAGTGCCCAAGGTACTCTCAGTTCCAATTATGCCCATTGGGTAACCCAGCCAGCAACACCTCTCCACTCACATCCCTGCAAACCTATCTGATCCCATCCAACCATCTCAGCTAGAGGCAACTGATATCAAAACTGCCCTCAAATTGCAGGCATTTTACACTACTGCAAGCCTCCAAAGTCAGTCCCTTTAGTTATCAGGCTACCTTGACTCCCCTGAAAGGGCTGGGAAGGCAGAGGTGGAGGTAAGGATGGCGAAGACCTGTGAACAGTTGCCTGACCTTCACCTACAGATCCTGCCAGATTCTGTCTTCTGGTTGTCAGCACTGAATGCAAGAGCGGGTGTAAATTCGGGTACTAGAATGTCTCCAGCCCTAGCCCAGCCTTGCACCTGCATCACAGAGTGGCAGCCTGCACAACCTACACTGTGCCCCAGCTCAGAGCAGCTGAGCTGCCCCAGGGACCAATCCTGCACAGTGTTTACCTGCACGCTGCATCGTTTTGTGTGAATCAAGCCTTGAACCGGCTCCAAATTTCTTGTCATATCAACTCAAATTTTGGCAGCAGCTCAACCCACATCTTATCTCGAGCAGAGCTCCTTGGCAGCAGGCACCTCCCTGTTGTGTAATTTAATGATGTTATGGCTGGCTTGCAAACAGTAAAACAGAAAGGCCGTGACGTTATCTTAATAGGATTTTGCTTTCTGCACTTCGAATGTCAGTGCCACTGCTCCCCAGTGTAGCAGAGGGGACACAAACCACCCCAGCGCCAGCAGCTTCTGCTGCTTGCTTGCAAACAACATAAATGAAAACTCAGGGTTCGAGGCATTCATCTCCTACAACCCCTTGCATCTGATCCCTGCTAAACTCCCAAATACACCAAGCTACCTGTCTGATACCCGCTTTGAGAGCGCGATTTGGGCGGCAGCAGCACGGCCAACGTGTGTGTTTCCTTTCTGCATCAAATCTCAGTGGCACCCGTTGTTGATGCACTGGATTGACGTTGCAAGCAGCTGCTGAAAGCATCAGATTGTTAATTGCCCAGATATCTCCTCTCCTAGCTCCATATTTTAATGCACTTTTCAACTGCTTTAATGCATTTGAGCAACTTTTAACACCCAGGCATAGTGTGCCCCTGAAGGTTGCTGCCTGATAGCTTTCTGCTGGACCAGCCAGCATACCAGATAAGATTCCATTTTCCACGCATGAAAATAAAAGGTTGTAATAAATCCTTTGAAGGACTAAAGCTGGGTGATTCTAAAATGTGTATTTTCCCTGCTTCCATTTTACCTCTATTAGGGGGAAGCGAGGGTGGTTTGTAAATAGCTGGGAATCCCCGCTTGGCAAGCGGCCCTGGGATCTGTTCAAAGTGGCCATTTGTTTTCTTGTGGTCTCTGATGGATGGTGCCCCGTGCCTCCGGGAACAGCAGGAGAGGAACTTGTAATGGACTTTAATGGAATTAGGGGCTTTTATGGAGGTAGGCGCTCAGCGGCGTGTCTTTCGCTGGGAAGCAGGGGAGGCACGGTGGATTCCTAAGCATGTGGAAGACACAGGGTGAAAGCTGGAAGATGAGGCTGTGAAGGGGGGTAATACCTTGTTACTGGGCTGATAGGATTGGGAGGACAACAGACAAGCTCTTCAGAAAAAAACCAAACACCTTCCTCAGGTGGCAAACAGGGACACATTTAACTTCTACCACACCTCCTCTTCCTCCGGTCCCCCGCCCCCCCTTCCCCAAATTATCATCTAACCTCTCTCCTGGGTAAGCAAAGGCTGTGAATCAGCGCACCTCCTATCAGGGGGGACCATAAAAGGAACCCTGCCACTCTTGCACCCCAGAAACGTGAGGCAGCACATCTACAGAAGAGCAGTTTGCCTGGATGGGGTGAAGCGGAGCAGGACAGTGCAAGGGGCATCTTCTGGCCCTGCAGGTCTTGTACCATTTTCCTTCGACTCTTCCCTACTTACATTTCTGTCCCTGGGACCCCACTCCCTATTCCACCCTCCTAGCCAGCCACAACCTGACTCCTCCACAGTCGTTGCTCTATGAAGCCTTGTTCCCTGCAGCCAAACCTGCTCCTGCAGCTCCCATCACCCCAGGCTCTGAGCAGCCCAGCTTCCATCACACCACTGCTGCCAGAGCAGGAGAAAACAGCCGGGGGCATACATGGGGTGGGCACCATCACTTGTGCAACCAAGAAATGCAAAAGCATCTGTGTGGAGGAAGGAAATGCTTCTGCAGCCCTGCCTCCTCTACCACAGCTTGGAAATGCTTGGCATTCTTCCCCACCTTGTAAATAAGTGATTACTGTGATCAAAATAATTAAGCAACCTAGCCTTTTAAGTGAATAATAGAAGACAATAATTTATATGTGCGAGGTTTATGGAAGTGATGGAACCATCTTAGCAGTTCTCACAGAGTAATAACTTTTTTTGGTCTGCTTTAAACATATCATTATACAACAAACCCTGAAGAATAGCTCCACATCCCACTCTGCACCCCACGGTCGAGCTATGGAGCCGGAATGCTCTTCCACACTCACAACCCCACTGCTGCTAAAGCTCACCTGCCATCTCCAGACACACTCCTTCTCTCTCAAAAGATCACAAATTCACCCCTTCAGGATTTTGGTGGCCAAGAGAGCGCTGCAATACAGCAAAGCTTTGCTCCAACACAGCATCCAAAAGCTCAGTGTCCCTGGTATGGAGAAAGCATGGGAGCTTGAGGCTGTGCTCAGACTCTGCTTCCAGACCAGGCAATCATGCTGCATCCAGGACTGGTGTGGTGGGTTGATGAGGGATGTAAGGATACGCTCACCTGCTTCCTAAAAGGAAGCTGGAGATCAATAATCCACTTGGCAGTGCCTTTTAATCACTGCCTCCCTGGGCCATATTTGAGTGGATGTCCTAGAGGTGCGAGGCTTGATAGAGCATTACCAAATTCCCAGGCAATCTGAACTCTCATGCACATTCATAATTAAAAATTCCCTGCTAAGTTGCAGGGTTTTGTAAAAGCATTATAGTTCCTCTGAGCTCCGTGTCCTGCAGCATCCTGCAGAAGGGTAGCAGGAGGC